AGGCACTGATAATCCGGTAGTATTTGTTTATATAACCAATCCCAACCAGGCACTGATAATCCGGTAGTATTTGTTTATATAACTTAGCTTAACCAGACACTGCAAATGAGGTAGTATTTGTTTATATAACTAAGCCTACCCAGGCACTGATAATCCGCTAGTATTTGTTCATATCACCAATCCCAACCAGTCACTAATAATCTGGTAGTATTTGTATATATAATCAAGCACTAATAATTCAGTAATATTTGTTTATATATAACGAAGCTCATTCATCCATTGGTCATCCGGTAGTATTTGTTTATATAATCAAGCTCGTCCCCTCATCTTTAGCGTTATTCAGAAAGAAGAAGTTTGGTTGGATAGTTTTCTACTTTTCATCAACGATTCCCGATGAATTTCTACAAATGTTTTTATTTTGTTTTTTAACGGGTGAAACGCCTAATCTGGCGAAGCAGTATCCATTAAAAGACAACAATTGTTGATGGAATATAATATCTCGAACGTGTTTCGCAACTAAAGTTTTTTTGTTTTCTTTTGAATGAAACTCGATGTTCTGTAAACCGCTGATGTAAGGAACATTTCAACGAATTTGTTGTGTTGTAACCCAGTCTCCTTGAATGAACTTTGGTACTTGGCGAAAAATCTCGTCGGCAGTAACATAAAACCAGAGTTAGATTACTACAACAAATAATTCGTGGACTTCATGTAGTTACCCAACATGGAGAGAAAGTAACAAAATTTAGACCTTCCAAGTTACAAAAAAGAAGCGGGTTTGAAAAATGTCATTTACCTATGGAAGAACTGCTTCCCAAAAAAGTGGGTGGGATGATGTCCATTCACGCCCACCCCAGAGTCTAACGTTGCATAAAGCTTATGAAATGTTGCTCAGCTGCTAACAAACATTGTTCTTACTGAAGAACTCTACAGCCATCGAAGAATGATGCGATCTAAGTCATTATCAGTCTTAATGAGTTAATACCTACTGACATTTCCATCTAACCTTGATATTAGAGTTGGAGTCCATTTTTGAAAACTGTTCATGCGCCAGATGTCTTGTGGCTCTTTTCCTTCATTGGTTAAAGTTTCGTGATACACAAAAAAATATAAACTAATTTGTTGTTCTAATATATGCCACTAATTACATATTTTTGGGGTTTCTTATATATTTTAAATAGAAAATGAAGGACATCACTCACTTGATTTGGCCTGTTCTTTATACTGAGGCAAAATTATATAAATACTACATACGATGCAGTAGGTGGACCCTGCCGGTATTGATCGGTATGTAAACATAATCTGTAATTTGAGGGTTAAGCCTAATCACGTTCTATTTCAGCTTCAAATTTTGCAACTTTATCGGTGCATCAACTACTTCGCGCAGCGTGTGTTTTGTAAACTTGATGCTTGTTGTTATATTGTGACTTCAAATATAAAGCAACTAAAACATGACTTTCAGCAACTCGTTGTCCGGAGCCCACAACTCCTAGACATGGCCACCTGGAGTGTTCCTTTCCAAAGCAGAGATTCCGGTCTGTTGCTGGCGGCAGGAATGAGTCGAAATACGTTAGAGGAAGTACGTGTCGCTATCTTTGCGACCCTGGTTACGTCATCCCTGCATCACTACTGACCAACTCAGTAATCCAGTGCCGTGGACCCTACTGGAACAGCACTGTGGACAGCGAATGTAGAAGTAAGTGTGACATTTTTTAACGAGTCTTTGTTAATATGCTCTAAGAAAGCTAAATATCACACAGATTTTGCGAATGTTTTGCGTTTATTTCATGAAAGAAAGTTAAACATACTGTAAAAAAACTACTCGACTTGAAAATGTATCTTTAGACACTTCAAATGTTAATAGTTCTTGTAATATGTTTATATATTTTACTAGAAAGTTATCAACAGAAAACTTTTCACTTGTAGGTTTTTATCTTGATCCTAACACTTTATCATAAGTATGGTAGTACTTATAGTAGGAATGGTTCAGATGTGCAATACAAATTAAAATCTCAAACACACTGCAAACAGCATGTAAACAAAACTTTATAAGCACTATACACACACACACACTGTTGAGTAGTAAACAAACTAACTGCAGAGTAACAAACCCACCAAAGCATTGAAAAAGTCTGTTATGTAAAAACAAAAATTTCACAAAACCACAAATTTGTTAGTCCGACTAGCTGAATGAAGGACTGACTAACTAACGTTATTTAAAGGGCATAGCTCACTCTTACCTTCACCTTATGCAAATCCAAGTGCACATGATTGAATTACGCTACCTTGGCTAAAAGCTTTTTTCTTAGTTTTACTTATAACCTTGGTAATAACAAGTAATAACAATAACTATTTTGTAACACTACTAACGAGCTAACAATAAACTAGTAGCCATATTCTGAAATTACGAGCATGCTCTGTGAGTTTCCATGTAACAACCTGTTCTCGTGTCTAGTGCGGGTGCACGATTGCTTATGCGCACGTGCTACGTGAACAGCCTGCAGCTGTATCAGCTATATAAAAAACGTGGACTATATAGATCCTCTATATCTAGGTTCTAACTATGATCTAGCCTTTGAAAGCAAACTTTTCAGTTCTATACCTCTGACTCAAAGGTTATGTTTTAGACAAAGCATTCCTATCACAGCAGTCGGTGCCTAAGACGTGAGGACGAAAGCTACTACTACCGAAGTCCAAGTTCAAGCAATCTGGACTGAAAACAAGAATGATAAGTTGTATAATTTACCTTTGCATTGTTTTCCAACTAAGTGTGACCTATTGACATCTAAGATTGTACTTGAAACAGTGCGATTTTTAAAATATGCCTTTCAAAGAAACAAAACGAGAGTAAAGGAGAAAATGTTATGCTGATATCCTTGAAAAGTCTTTATCCCAGCAGAGAGAGAGTACTACTGCAAGAACACGGATAAGGTTAGAAATAGTAATGCTGAATATGCAAAATAAGACTTAACTATTAATGAAGCCAAAGAAAAGGCTGCCACCCTGGCTAGATGGAAGAAAAACTATTGAAAAGATATCAGCAAAAGCCAGGAAATGTCGACAAATAGCTCTACAAAATGCTACGAGTAGGATAGGCCTAGAGCCCAGTCACTCTCGAGAATTAGCACCAAGAAAAAGCCATGAGAAAAGTGTATTTTTTTTAGTAAAAACATTAGAATATAAGAATGGGAGTAACAAAAAGTAAGGAAAAAAAGATAGGAATGGGCGAGCCAACGTTACAATACTTTGTGGTTTTTGACACATGCACCCTCAAAGTGTTCCGCCCATTTCTACTTCGTGTTTTACTTTGGACTTTGATTCAATTATGGACTTAAATTGAGTTTTATCAGTAGATAATCTATTCTAAATATTGAACAAATTTCAAAAATCAACGGTTTTGATACTATTCTTTTGACCCACTCTTCCATAAGCAAAGTATGACTATTGGAGCTTTCTGTCTCACCTCCGACATCAAACACTCCCTTTATATGTCATGCATTTCATTAGGGTCACGTAATTTGATTAAATATATGTATCTGTACTTGGTTGCTGAAACAATGTTTACAACAGAGAAATTTAACTATATGTACCTTTCATTTAGTTTAAAAAATTATCAAGTTACAAAAAATACACGAAGTAAGAATGGGCGGAATGATGTCCACACCCATTTTGAGGTTGCACAGTATCAAAAAACACCAAGTGTTGTAATATAGCCCGTCCATTCTTACCTTGTTTCCTTACTTTTTGGTGCTCCCTAATTTTTGTATTTAAATATTTTTACACTTGTAGTTAACTTATAGCAGACGATTATACAACCCTATCGTTTCAGTTGAACCCATAACCCTATCGCTCCTTAATCATTTTATAGTAAGTAAGTTAATACGTAATCTCATCCCTTCATAATCATCTTATAGCTGATGATTTAACGCATAACCCTATCGTTCTGTAATAACCTTATCGCATTTGTTTTGAAACGTAAATCTATCGCTCTGTAATCAACTTATAATGCGTGTTGTAATATGTAACCCCTATCGCTCATCATTTAAAAACCTATCGCTCCGTAACCAACTTATAGCTCATGGCTTACCACATAACCCTTTCATTTCACAAACAACTGAAGTCAAGTGATTTAGTAAATAGCTCTAACGCTCTGAAGTCTATTCGTAACACGTATGTAATTTAGTATTATTATCATTTTTAAGTTTATAAACTGTCAGGATATCCAAAGATCCAAATGATGTGGTTCAAGTACGATGCATAGTGTTAACATACATGTGTAAAATTTGTTTTATCGTTCTTACATTCTTTGAAATATTACCACTACTATCGTAGATGTGTGAAACAAACATTTAACAGTTAACATGAATTTTACCATCAGTTTGATAAGTTAGTGAAGGTCAAGTATCACCATCTGAGAAAGAGAGGAATGGAAGTTTGAGAACGTCTACATTGAAAACGATTCTACATATTTCCAGCCTCATTTATAAGCTACTTTCACGTGGTGATCGGTTTAAACGTTTTCTCAGAAAGCCTTGAATATGCGTTTATAGCGACCTCTACAATAATCTGTTAGAAAGAAGTAGTTATTGTAGCCCACAGTCCTTTTTTTGTTTTTCAGAAATAACAAAATCTACTCTATCCTGTTTTAAATTCATATCCAATTCTACGATTTCTTTTATTCTAATAGAAGCAGTTCCACCAACCCCTTTAAACTGTGTTAACCAGACCCTGGTGACTGATGATGGAGTGGCACCTGTAGAGAAACCCAGGTTCGTAGCAGGAGACGGGAGAGATCTGGATGTAAAGTGTACACTGGAGGGTGAACTGGAACCTGGAGAGTACATCAACACGTGTAAAGCTATAGATCCGGAGCTGCGGACCAATGCAGAGTGCTTTTATAAACTGAACATAAAATGTATGAACTATTTCACGTCAAAATCCAAATAACTTAATGAGCTTTGTGTAGAAAATGTTCATTTCTAAGTGGTCTGGCGAGCTTCCTGCACGTACAGATTGAACAATTAGCAAAGAATTTTATTGCCGCATTATTTATTATACGAATTAACAAAGAATCTAACTAAATAGGTTTCGATTATACCTCTTAAGATATTGTGTGATAATGTTTATGATCAATTAATCCTCTTGGTTGCCCCTCCCTTAGTTTCTGGTTTTTACACATTTTTAATCGTTGAGTTATTATTTCTTACCTCATAGCGATATGTTATATTCCTTATATTTATTCATAAAGACAATAACATAATCTTTTCCAATTCGACAAATCGTCTACAATCAACTACAACAATAAGTCCGAGTATGGCCTTGTGGCTAGCGTATCGGACTGGGGTTCCTAAGATCTTGGGTTCGAGACGTGGTTCTACCTAATACGCTTCACACTCTCAGTTGTAAGTGCATTATAAGACATATTCTGAATAATCAGTGGGGCAGGAGAGCGTCAATTCTCAGAACTATGCCTGTAAAATGGGGCGCAAATTAATATAAATTAGTAAGGTAAGAGAGGTCAGCCCCCCCCCACGACTATATCTGGGGGAATGAGGAAGAACAGATTAATGTATGTTGATAATTTTACAGCTGCAATGCATTATATGTTCTCCTTTTTCCATTTACACTATAAGGAAGTACTCCATTTGAAATCAATAAATGCCACATTTTATGGGCTACACCCCTTAATCCCCATAGGATTAGCATGTTCAGGTCCCGCATGCACCTTAGCTCCTCCTGATACATTTTTGCTTTCTGCACCTACGAAGAGTGACAGTCAAAACCACTATTAGACGGTGGGTGCTATCGGCCTGGTTTCTTTCCATCTGGTCTGCCTGAACTATATATGTCCTTGATCTGGCTGTTTAGTCCATTGTGTGCATAAGGTTTTTTTACAGATAGGAAAACATTTCATTATAACTTCAACCACAAATCTTTCTCCAGGTTTATTGATCCCCGGTGGTCAGCGGTAAGTTTTCAGGTTTATAATGATAAAACTTGGGATTTGACTCCCCGCTGTAAATGGAGCGAAGATAACAATTTCTGTTTGCTGTAAAACAGGAAACTTTACTGTGTAAAAAATGGAGTAATTATAAGTATACAAATAAATGTTTGGTAACAAAAGTGGCTATTTCCTATTCTTTTTTTTTATAATATGCGCCAGAAAAGCTCTTGTTTTGTCCAAGTTTTATTTCTTTAATCGATTTCATTTTCACCATTTTCTGCTATTTTTTCTTTTAATAAAATTAAAACAATTAATTCCGGAATTTGACAACACTTAAGTCGGGTAATAACGAAAAATGATAAAAACAGTTTTCTTAAAGTAACGGTTTCTAGTAGTTTCAATATTTAAGAATTTAGAGAAGTTTTACTTAATTATTTTTAGAACTGTGTAAAAAATTATCGTTGTTTTATAAAATGTGAGTTTTTTAACGTTGAGCATTACACAAACGCCAATGAATTTTAATATAAATATATAAACGGGATATTCGGCAAAATGTAAGACAAAGATTGAAGTCAAAATAATGTATTCAACAACTAGCATTTTTAATAAGGTATAAAAAGATACTATAGTTATTTATTTATTCTTTGTGTGGGATAAAAACAACGAAACAAAAACTTAGTTGTTTATAAGTGATTGTGTTGGACGAAACAAAAATTTGTTGCTTATAAGATTTTGCGTAAGATGGTACCAAATAGCTTTGGTTTATTTACTTATAAGTGGTTGAATAGAACAATTTTGTAGCATTTTACGTTATATTGTTGTTATTATTGTTCAGCTAAAGATTGCAGTTCCCCACCTGAACCAGTGAATGGATATGTTCAGTGTGAATCAGAAACTGGAAGGTACTTCAGAAGCACTGTTTGTATCTATAAGTGTAATCATGGTTACGTCATTCCTGTGAGCCAATCAAATATTACCTCCATACATTGTCGTCACAACTCTAGATGGAATTCAACCAAAGTGCCGGACTGCCAGAGTAAGTAAACAAGACATATATGCGATCGGTTACATTTTTTATAGATAAATAAATAGGTTAAGAAAAGAACACTATTGTTTTTCGAACAAAGATAACATGAAAACAGGAAATAAAGTACAATCTATGGAGTTTGAAGTTCCCTGTCATTTTAGTTCACAGTTAAGTCGCCATGAAAATGGACACCTTAGTAACTGTCATTCATCTTGACCAGTTGGTCTTTAGTCTCGAATTAAGCTTTATGGATATTTCTATGATTGAGGTTTTATTTATTCAGCTGTCAATAGATGGCGATAAAATACAATGCAACATGACACATGATTCATAAACATCAGATCTAAAAGATATAAACATGGGATCCAAAATACACACACTCATAATACCCATATTGTGGTTTAAAGCAATAATAAAACATAAAAATTTGTCTTTAAGCCTTACTTGGAAATTTTACTTCAGTTAAAATACTTTAGAAACGCCATTTTAAAAATAACAATATATATTTCTATTAAACAATAATAAATTGAACAATAATTGTAAAGTAGCTTTTAACTGTTTCAGTTAATTTGTGAGGAATTTTGTATTTGAAAATTTAGAAGATAAAATACGTTCAACAGTGCTTATAATCGTCATGCTGTGACTGTTAGTCCTGCACTGTGATGGTATATTTGTTCTGTTCTTAAGGAGAAAGCTATACAATGATGCCATTCTCATCGCAGGTATCGAAACCCGATTTCTAGTGTTATAAGCCCTCAGACATACCGTTGAGCCACCAGAGGATAAAACGGTAAAAACAGCAATGAATCGTTAATTGGTAAAACTTGGTTTCTTTCTCACAGAAGCCGTTCCGCCCAAGCCTCTAGACTGTATAGATCAAACCCTGGTGGCCGGAGCTGGTGGTATTCAAGTGAAGAAACCCAGGTTTGTAACGGGAGAAGGGAAAGATGCAGATGTAAAGTGTTCACTGGAGAAACCACTGAAACCAGGGGAGTACATTAACGTATGTGCTGCAGTGGATCCAGAGCTACAGACGTCTGCCAGTTGTTTCCAAAAAGTGACTGTAAAGGGTAAGGTAGTGGTAGGCTTGGTAACTGTATTGTTATCAATATCTACTAAACATAACAGACTCTATTCGTTTTACTGTCATCCTAAATGTAAAATTTGTATTCTACGTTAGTAAACAGTGTTACCGATGTAGCCCTTGAGTACAAGGAACTATTTGTCCTGTAAAAACGTTATATTTATTCAAAAATTATCAAAATATAATGATTTCTTTTAGATTTTATTAATGAAAAAAAGAATAATTTCTTCAAAAGTTCGATCAACAACCTTTTTTTTGCTAAATATTTTATTACCAAATTACAAAAAAAAAGAACTTACAGGTTTAAGAGTGTATTTTAACAGCCGCAGGATGCCTCTCCCCGCCTGAAGTACAAAATGGATACATAAAATGTCAACCTCAACCCAACAGCTATATGCCAGGGACAGTCTGCATGTACCATTGTAGTGGTGGCTACGTCATTCCAGTCAGCCAATCAGGTATCACCTCAAGAGAATGTCTTCACGACTCCAGCTGGAATATAACCAAAGTCCCGGACTGTTTAAGTATGTTCAGAATATTTGTGTTGCCATGCTCATAAAATATTAAACGTGAATTTTTTTCTTTCACACGGCCCGGCATGGACAGGTGGTTAAGGAGCTCGACTCGCAATCTGCGGGTCGCGGGTTCGAATCCCCGTCACTCCGAACATGCTCGCCCTTTCAGCCGTGGGGGCGTTATAATGTGACGGTCAATCCCACTATTCGTTGGTAAAAGAGTAGCCCAAGAGTTGGCGGTGAGTGGTGATGACTAGCTGCCTTCCCTCTAGTCTTACACTGCTAAATTAGGGACGGCTAGCGCAGATAGCCCTCGTGTAGCTTTGCGCGAAATTCAAAACAAACAAACAATCTTTCACACAAATTAAATTGTTTACGTAAATTGATTCAAAGTTAATAATTTTAACGACGACTTAATCTTCTGTCCTGGATTTTTGTCGTTTAGGTGTTTACCTTTTCTTTGGTTTCTGAGTGAAAAGAAAGTTCCAGACAAAACTTTTGGTCGTTAATAAAACCTTATAAACAAATTGGCTTTCTCCGTATCACAAACGTGCATACAAGGATAAGTTAAAGTTGACTTCGTACAGTATTAGCTTGTCTTCGTTTCTATTAGCCCTTCTCTTGGGGTTCTCTGGAAAATATTCCACGTTAGTTTTTAATCACTAGATAGGTTGACCAAGTCAGTCAGAGGACACTGCACTCAATGTGCAAGGACACAGGCATTGAGATGTGAATCTACCGTTCAGTGTTTAACAAATTTTGTAGTTTAAAATTTGTTTCATTGGCGCCTTTACTTAGTCCAAAACTTTATTACGCTACTGCTATCGGATGTCATGACCATAAATATTCAGTATTAGTAGCACAACAAGTTTAATGTTCTGTTGTTGCAATATCATTAACGTTCAGAATTGGTAGCATATCAAGCTTAACGTTTTGTTGTTGCAATGGCATACGTGTTCAGAACTTGTAGCACATCAAGCTTTACGGTTTATTGTCGCAATGTCATTAAAGTTTAGAACTAGGAGCGCATCAAGCTTAACATTATATTGTTGCAATATCACTAACGTTGACAATCGGTAACACATCAAGCTTAATGTCCTGTTGTTGCAATGTATTTACTGTTCAGAATCTATAGTACATGAAGCTTCGCGTTATATTGCTGCAATGTCATTAACGTTCAGAATCAATAGAACATCAAGCTTCACGTTCTATTGTTGAAATGTCACTAACTTTAAGAATTGGTAGCACATCAAGCTTCACGGGTATATTGTTGCAATGTCATTAATGTTCAGAATCAGTAGCACATCACGCTTCACATTTTATTGTTGGAATGTCACCAACTTTAAGAATTGGTAGCACATCAAGCTTCACGGGTATATTGTTGCAATGTCATTAATGTTCGAAATCAGTAGCACATCAAGCTTCACGGTTTATTGTTGCAACGTCGTTAACATTCAGAATTGGTAGCACAACAAGTTTGACGTTATGTTTTGTCAATATGACAATCAGTAGCACATCAAGCTTCACGTTCTATTGCTGCAATGTCATTAATGTTCAGAATCAGTAGAACGTCGAGTTTTACGGATTATAGTTGCAATGTCATTAATGTTCAGAATCAGTAGAACATCAAGCTTCACGGGTAATGCAACATGTCATTAATGTTCAGAATCAATAGAATATCAAGCTTCATGTTCTATTGTTGTAATACCACTGACGTCCAGAAATGGTAGCACAGCAAGCTTCCCGGGTTATTGTTGCAATGTTTATTGTTTAGTTTAGATGTTATTGATTGATTTGTTTTTATGAGTGAATATTATATTTTGTTTAGTTTTTGTTATAATATGAATTAAAAGCAAACGATTGTACGAAGTTTTGTTAATAATTCATTGATGTTGAGATTTTTGAACGTCGCGTGCAATACATTGACGTCAAGAATATAGAAGGCGGACAGACGATTACGTGATAAAGATATAAACAGCGTGAGACGAGCGGGAGGCAGCAGAACTGATGCAGGAAGTGTGCAGACTCATCAGTACTCGGCAACTCTTTACCATCCTGTACAATCCTAAATGTAATGGGCTTTGTGAGAGAGAATTTTAAAGAGCATGCTAAACAAGATGTGCTAAGAGAGACCACATAGCTGGAACAGATGCTTGCAGGCAGTATTATTTGCTTACCGAGAAGTCCCACAAGCAAGTACAGGATTTTCACCCTTCGACTTACTCTAGGGAAGAACAGTACGAGGTCAAATGCAAATATTGAAAGAGCTATGGACGAGAGAAGAGGAGTCCGAAGTAAGGAACACATGGAAAGGACCTTTTGAAGTACAGAAAGTACTCAACAGAATGGACTATAAAGTGAATGTGAACTGGAAGACCAAGATCTACTATGCCAATCTGTTGAAGAAGAAGACTTAATGGGTGCAGCTATTGAAACAGAGATGAATGTTGCAGGTATGGCTATCATAGATACAGAACCAGAAGACAGTGACTTTGTCTTAGAAGGTGAGGACCTACTAGACCTAAGATAACTAGCTGGAGATGAGACATACAAAGATGTCAACATCAGTGAAGAACTGAATAACAAGCAGAAAAAAGTGTTACAAGAACTATTGTGCCAGTTCGCAGATATCTTCACGGATAAACCAGGAAAGACAGATCTTGTGCAACACAAGATCGAGACCAAAACCAGAGATTCAATCAAAGTGAAGCCCTATCAGATGACTTATGCAATGAAAGACCGGATAAAGCAGGAAGTTGAGGCAATGTTAGAAGCTGGAATCATCGAGCCTTCAAATTCAGCCTACTGTTCACCAGTTGTAATCGTGAAGAAGAAAGATGGATCAAAATGCTTCTACATAGACTTCCAGAAGCCGAACCTTGTGATAAAGTTCGACTACGAACCTATAGACAACCCACAGGCCATCAATGCAAAACTAGATGGGGCCATGTTCTTTTCAAAGATCGACCTCAGTAAAGGTTATTGGCAAATCCAGATGGAGACGGGATCTAAAGAGAAGACAGCATTTGCAACACCAGACTGATGTTACCAATTTAAGCAGATGCCATTTGGGGTAGTCAGTTCAGTAGCAACATACAACTGCATGATGAGGAGGATGCTGCACAACACCACCAACATCGATCACTATGTGGATGATTATCTGATACACTCCAAGATGGGAAGACCATCTGAAGAGACTTAGACAACTGTTCCAGTGAGTGAAGGAAGCAGGCCTCATCATTAGATCATCCAAGTGCTACATTGGATATTCTGTGTTGGAATTTGCTGGACATAAAGTGGGTGGATCGACAGATAGCCATGGAAAAGGAAAAGATAACCCGCATACAATATACATCAGCTCCAATGACCAAGTAGCAAGTCAGATCTTTCCTGGGGTTAGCAGGATACTACAGGAAATTCATCCCAAATTATGCTGAAATTACTGCACCATTGACTTACCTGACCAACAAAGACTTGCCGAACAAGGTGAAGTGGGAACAACCACACCAAGTGGCATTCCAGAAATTACAGAACATGTTGGAAAGCTCACCAATTCTTAAAATGCCAGACTTTAACAAACCATTCATTGATCACGCTGATGCTTCAGACATTGGAATTGGGGTAGTACTCTTACAAGAACATGAAGATAAACTGTTTCCAGTAACATATATAAGTAAAAAAGCTGTTAAATAGTGAGAACGACTACTTTGTAATTGAACGAGTGTCTGGCCATCATATTTGCCATCAGAAGTTCCAAAACTATCTATATACGGGAAGGAGTTTATCATCCAGACAGACCATCAACCACTTGCATACATTCAGAGGTGCAAGATCGACAGTGCGAGAATCATGAGGTGGGCATTGTACCTTCAGAACTACAGGTTCCGCATTGAAGCTATCAAAGGAATTACAAATGTTGGAGCAAACTGTATGAGCAAACTTTGTGCATGAGCTAAGGACAGTCTTAGTATATAGTGAAAAAATATTGTAAATATTTTATCTTGAAGAGGAGGTTTATGTCATGATATAAAAAACTGTTTAATTTAGATGTT